AACTCTAATTCTTAATAAAATAAATGTTTTAACTCAACCTTAATTCCTAATAAAATAATAAATCTAATCTTAAAAGATAATACATCATCCTATTTTAAATTATATTACAAATAATCAATAAAAATATTGAAAATTTGTAATAATTACAAAATCACGTATTAATCTCGTATAGGAATTTATGCATGTGTTGTCTTCACTAAAATGAATGTATCTTGAGTTCTTGATATCGTATTGATGCGATTCAATAACATTTGGAAAGAAAAGAGACAGCTGGTCGTATATCCAGAAGACATGTTGACAAATATGATCAGGATCCCATTCAAAAATTCGTCGCACGTCTGCTGATGTTCTGGTCTTCTTTTCCAAGGCTTGGACGAGTGGATCATTTGGAAGAGTTATTACTTCTTTCTTTGATGTGAGCCTTGTGATGCATGTATCATCCTCCCTTTCTTCAAAAAGATTTGACCTCAAATCTGAAGTATTAAAGGGAGCAACATTAGAATCATTTAATGATTCATTCACATTATGCTTACCGAATATATATGCTTTGAATCTTCGAGACTTTGTTCTTCTAATAGGTTCATGTAGAAACATTAGTCCAAAGAAGCTTGTATTATAATTATGGACTCTAATGCATGTATCATTCCCCCGCTCCTCAAAAGGATTCATCCTCGAATCTAAAAATCCAATAGAAAGAGAATTAGATGTGTTGAAAGCAAAACTTGTGAAACATTTACCAGGATCAATGTGATGTGTCTTTATACGTTTTAGTCGAGGTTTCTTCTTTGTAGGAACTGGTTTCTTGTAGTCTTGAAATCCTCTTTTGTATACAAGTCTTGTAATATGATGTTTAGGTTTAAATTGAAAATGACGCTGGCTACTGTTGGCTTTCTTTATGATTTCTTCAGATATTATCTCCATGGTTTGATTCGTGTGTGGCGAGAATGAGTGTTGAAAAACCATGTCAATTGGTTTGTGAAAGTAATCACTTAGTCTCCTAAGTGTGGTTCATGAATTAATAATTATCGGGAGGAGATTTGTGGACTGTAGAACCTTTGTGGTAGTGCATCGTCTACTGTGTTTTGCTTACCTCGGTCTTTTATGCACTTAAAAGAGTTGTATTTAGTATGGATGACAAATTCAAGAGTCTTACCTTGTAAAAATAAGAAGTATGTTACAATATCATTAAAATTAGTAATAAAATACTTACCTTTGAAATCTCGTAAATTGTGACTCTTTATTGATATAGCATAGTGATTAGGGCTTTCAGGTGGTAACATGTCAGGAGGGTCACCTAACACCATTTGACAACTCTTGTGATGGAAGATGGTGTGGGTCAGTCTCGTGATGATTTTACTTTTTCATCATTTACATGGATATCCTATGCACGAACTATAAAGCCTGTGGAGATGTTTAAATCATGTTTTGTCATTAAGATGGTGTCACGACTAAGGTTTTCCAGGATGTAACCTTTTTGTAACAAATCTAACTCTTTGGTTTCTTTGAGATTGTATGTTTGATGAGGTATGATGGAACCTTGAATTAGATTGGTTTGGTGTTGTTTTTCTCTTTTCGGTGGTAATCCGTCAAGTTAATCACCTAACACTTCTTGAAAATCCTGTAAAAGAGAGGAAAACACACTAGGCAAATCCTTGTTAGTGTTAGAAATCGAAACAATTGATTCCCTAAAGCAAACAAGGATTCAAGGCTATTTGTAAAGAAGATTCTCTCTCAATTCTTTTGTGCTCACACATAGATTTTGAGTCACTCTTTTCTTCTCATAATTAGGTTCACTCACCTCTCATGAGTCATTATTCTTTTGGCTTTTGTAACTGGTGACCTCTTTCTCAGCTTTTTCTTTTTTTTACTTTTCCTACCTCCTCACAAATTCTCATTTGATCTTTAGGGATTAGAAGTGTGTCATTCTTTGCTGGTCGTTGTTTCTCCTTGTCCAGTTTGTCATCTCTCAGCTTTTTTTGAGAAGATGGAGTAGAAAATGAGGAAGGATTTGAAGGATTACCTTGGTAAGAGGATGAAGTACCTTGGTAATGTTCTCTAAATCAGAATCTCCTTTGGATTTGTTCTTCGATTGTTATTGCCTTCTTTAGTGTATCTTCAAGGTTTTCGTACCTATGGAGGTCAAGAAGATAAGTGATGTTTGAGTTCAAGCCGACAACGAATCTTGACACGGTGTCTTCTTCTTCTTCGGTTATGTTAGCCCTATTGAGTAATGATTGCATCTCCTTGTAGTAGTATCCAACTGAACTTCTACCTTGTCGAAGTCGGTGTAGTTGTAGTTTAACTTCTCGTGTATAATGTGTAGGTAGGAATCGGTTCCCCATAGTTTGTTTGAGGTCGGTCCAAGAAGTGATTGCTTGAATTTGGAAGTTCTCGATCTTTTTCCTTGTTTGCATCCACTAAGTGTGAGCATATCCTTCGAATTCCATGGTGATGAGGGGAACTTTTTCAGCTTGGAGCCAGTCATGGTATGCGAACATGAGATCAACTTTTCCTTCCCAATCAATGTACTTGTCCGGATCGTTGTCTCCTTTGAAACACGGGATCATGAACTTTGGTTTTGCAAAGAGTTTGGGTGCTTGGAAACATGGTTGTGCTCGTCTGGGTCCCAAAAGTTCAGCATTGTTTGGTCTTGGATTCTGGTTTGGTAGATCCAGTTATGGTTCTTGTCATTCTCTCACGGTATTGTTAAGTTCAGAAAATCTTTCAAATTGATTTGTGAGTCATGCAAGTGCGGCTAAGATAGTCGTAAGTGTCTTGCTGTTATTGTCGCTCATCCTGAAATCATAACACTCAAAAGAAAATTTTAAAGTAAAATAAAAATAAAAAAAAAGAAAATTCAACAAAACAAGAAACCTCACAAGTCACTCCAAGAAAGTAACAAAGCGAGAGGCAAGTAAGCCGATCTTGTACTCTTTAAAACTCACTTTACCAAGAAATCTTCCACAGTTCATATCGGAGTTTGATTACTAGCAAAGGCGATAAGAAAACCTAAAAGCTCTTAGAGGCCAAACAAGGTTTAGACTCCAAGAGAACGCGAATGCAAATAATGAAGAAGTATGCAAACTCTTTAGTCCTACTAACACAAGAAAGATAATGTGTTAGATAATGCAAAAGAACAATAAAAAGGAAAACAAAAGACCCTAAAGCACTAAGAGTCAAAGAAAAAAAGAACCAAACCAGAAACCTAGAAAATGCTGGGTCAACTTGAGCAACATTTTTTAGGGGGTTACCGGTGTCCAAAAATTTTGGAAAAATTCTTGAATGTCATTCGATGTGTGTAGAAACCACCTGTAAAGTTTCAAAACCAAATACTTTTAGTAGTATCCAGTAGATTTTATTGAACAGTGCGTCTTCAAACAACCTATTTTTCGTGATCGCTTTGTTCGAAGGTTTTATTGATCACGAAAATTCTGATTTTTATGTGAATGGTTTTCAATATATTTAATTTCAATCTGGAAATTTTAACCAGGAAATTTCTCCTGTATATTTTTCAAGAAATTTGACAAGATTTTATATTGAATCTGCCGATGAAACTTGAAAGATGTATTTGAAGGCTCTAATGAACTCTGATTGGGCTTAATTTTGGATTGGATATTACTTTTAGGATGAATATGAGATCTGGAGAAAGTCAGCCCTAAATTCCTTCGTTTGCAATTTTGAACTTTTGTATTATTTTTGCTTTTTTGCTTTTTTGGTTTTTTTGAAAAAAACAACAAACTAACAAAAATAATTTGAATCTAAATTAAAATTAAATAAAAAGAACCTGAAACGATGAATCTTTTGCGAACTAGCTCTATTGGGGTACCTTGATGGTTTTGTGTGCAAGAACAAGCAAATTACTTGCTTTTTTCCAAGAATCGACCCAAATCTGATACCAAATGATAGGGAAGCGGTGACAGATTAATGAATGTTGCTCTTGTTGAAGAATCAAACCTAGAAAGCTCTAGACTCAATGAAGAACAATAGAGAATGAATAAGGGAAGGTGGCGACATCAAGTAGGGTTCTTAGGGTTTCTTTTAGGTGCTGGAAACAAAGTAAAAAAATAATATTAGAATAATATAAAAAAAAAGATAAAGAACTTAAAAATAAAGTATGATAATCAAGAAATCAAAAGATATCCCTTGTGAAGGTGGATGAAAAAGGTGATGATGGTGAGGATGAATTTGAGGAAAATAGATGGATAATGTCCTATTGAGCCCTCCTAGTCGCAATGAAAAGGCAAACACGATAATATGACTCTAACCAACCCTCCTAGTCGTGATGAAAAGGCAAATTGGAGTGTGAAGATTAATCTCCCTCACAAGAACTTGAAAGAACTATAGGAGAAGAAGCTTCGAAGGCATAAAGCAATCAGCACTTGCAAAAACGAACTCTCGCTGTATTATTAATCAAAGAAATCTGATTTACAAAGTTGAATGAAGCCTCCTTTATATAGGGGATGAATTCTAAAGGTCCTAAATAACTAATTAATAGAATAATAACAAACTAAACATGTTTTAACTCTAATTCCTAATAAAATAAATGTTTTAACTCAACCTTAATTTCTAATAAAATAATAAATCTTATATTAAAATATAATGCATCATCCTATATTAAATTATATTACAAATAATCAATAAAAATATTAAAAATTCATAATAATTACAAAATCACATATTAATCTCGTATAGAAATTTTTTGCATGCGTAGTCTTCACTAAAATGAACATATCTTGAGTTTCTGATATCGGATTGATGCGATTCAAAAATCGTTGGAAATATAAGAGAGTTGGTCGTATATCCAAAAGACATGTTGACCAAATAAAATCAGGATCTCATTCAAAATATCGTCGCAAGTCTGCTGTTGTTCTGGTCTTCTTTTCCAAGGCTTAGACGAGTGGATCATTTGGAAGAGTTATTACTTCTTCCTTTGATATGAACCTGTGATGCATGTATCAGAAGCTCTGTTTCTTTTTTGGTTCTTTTTAAACATGGCTTGGCTTTTTTTTCTAATGCTAGAGCTAGCAGAAGATGACACTAGCCTTCTTACTTGAGCACTTTAATTTTCTCTGGAAGCTCTGTTCCTTGATTGGTTGTTTTTGAAGATGGCTTGGCTTCTGTTTTTCTAGTGCTAGAGCTAGCAGAAGATGACACCAGCCGTCTTACGTGAGCGCTGGGAATTTGCTCTGGAAGATCTCTTTCTCGATTTGTTCTTTTTGAAGATGACCTGGCTTCTGTTTTTCTAATGCTTGAGCTAGAAGAAGATGACACCAGTCTTGTTACTCGAGTACTGGGAATTTGCACTGGAAACTCCTTTTTTTGCCTGGTTCTTTTTAAACTTGGCTTGGCTTCTGTTGTTCTAATGCTAGAACTAGAAGAAGATGACACTAGCCTTGTTACTTGAGCGCTGGGAATTTGAACTGGTAACCCTTTTTCTTGTGTGGTTCTTTTTAAACTAGGCTTAGCTTCAGTTTTTTTAAAGCTAGAGATAGAAGAAGATGACACCAGCCTTGTTACTTTAGCCCTAGGAATTTGCACTGGCAACTCTGTTTTTTGTTTGGTTCTTTTTGAAAGTGGCTTTGCTTCAGTTTTTATAATGCTAGTGCTAGAAGAAGAAGAAGACACCAGGCTACCACATTTTGATGGTCTAGAAGAAGAAGAAGAAGAGGAGAAGGAGGAGGAGGAGGAGGAAGACACCAGGCTACCACGTTTCGATGGTCCAGACAATCTAGGTAAGCTAGAGCGTGATCCAGTAATTTGTCCACTAATAGTTCTTACAGCATTTGGGGTATTTTCTTTGCCTGAAATGACACTTTTACTAACCTTGACAATAGCTTGCCGGCAAAGAGATGAATTTGGTTTCGATTTTGTACCAACGTCTTTAGTAATGTTAAGCACCTTTGCTTTGTTTTTAATAGCAGGAACAACATTCCCCTGATCAAGACATTAAACAAAAACCGGAACATCAGCTTTTATAATTAAATGCTTATATATATATATATATATATATATATATATACCTTATCCTTTAAAACATCCTTTAAAACAGAGCTATGCTGTGTCGTTCCATTAGTAGTTTCCTTTCCTTCGCCGGAGGCAATGCTTTTTTTCTCGACACCTCTTGGATTTCCCTCGGGCAGTGGCGGGTGAGAAACAGAAGCTTCTTCAAAAGAATCTTCCAGTGGAACCATATTCGTTCCTTCTTTTATGGTAGCATCATTATTTTCAGTAGAGGAATCTTTTGCTTCCTGGTAACTTGGTAAGATGTCACTATTGTTCAAAATTCCCAGGCTGTCTGGGATCTGAATTTGTTTAGCATTGCTCAGTTTTCTTTCCTTTTCTACAACAGCAGCATCAGTGCCATTTCCTTCTTCTTTGGCACCATCTTTTGTATCTTGACTAGGTCCAGATTGGTTGGTTTGTTGCTGATGGGCAACATTTTTGAAGAATTCATCAAAATTGGCCTTCTTTTGAGCAACTGTTCCTAAGGCCTTAATCTTCTCTAGTTCCTCTTGACGTCTATCGTAACTAAAAACTGTCCTTTTCTCCCATGCAATTGAATCATCGGCATATCTTCCGAAAGAAAACGAACCATGACGCATAAGAACAGACATTTCCTGTTCATAGGGACGAGAATCAAAATGTAAACCAAGACGAATCAGATGGAAGCCGAGAAACCAAAGTGCAAACCAAGAAATTTAACATGTATGGGGGACATACATACATACATATACATATATATATATATATTAAGTTTCTATTTTTCATCTGAGTACTCAGTGTCGATATCCATGATGAACACTTTCAAAAAGAAAATCAAGACATTTTGTCTTCTTAAAGCTCTTGCAAACAATTATGGCTCACAATGACAATTTGACAGACAATGTTAATATTATTTATATTTGTGTTCAATGCTAAAACGTTAAGTAATCATCGATAAAATGATAAAACGTTTTGCCTTCCACGTGTTTGAAGAAAATGCCAAAAGCAATAGCATGAAAGGAGTTCAACCAACAAGAAAAGCAAGAATGTTGATGAAAAAGGGAATTGTTAAATAATTATAAAATCAGACCTCAACGAGAAGGGGCAATGAAGAATAAATGGTGTTACCGAGGAAGCTGTGAATTTCAGTGTCGGCGGCAGCCATTTTGGATAGTTTATTTCACCTTGTTCTCAACCCTGCAACCAAATTGAATCATCATATTGCAAAAACCAAAACCCCATAATTGTATTTGTATCTATGAATTTTAACATCAATCCTGCTAATTGCTCTTGAAACACAAATCATTTCTTGCCTTCTCTTCTTACAACGCAATGGAACTGAAGAAAAGAGGAGGACCCGGAAACAGAATCACGGTAGAGATGGAGAAGAGAGAGAAACAAAAGCAGGAGAACGTTAAGACTATTTATCACCTGCATGCATCATATCATTCGCGCTTCTATTTTTTTTTCATTTCAGATTTTTCTTTATAAGATTCAGGGTTTGATTTTTAACAGTTGCAAGCTTGCATATTCCCAATGTATCGGACAGAATAAATAACTAAAATTAGCAGCAATACCACCATTGACGAGTTGGTTGTGTCAACGTTCAACACCATTGAATTTGACGAGACGATTCTTATCAACAAGTATTAAACTGATGAATTTTTGTTGCGAGAAATGTTGGAGGAATTGTGAGGATCCATTTTTAGCATTTAACTAATAGGGAGCTGTATTACCAGGTCTGACCAGTCATCAGGCCGATATTTGGGGAAGCTCCCGTTTGTGCCAGTAAGTCGATAACAGTAAAGCTGCAGTTATGAGATAATTTGGGTCAATGTATTTTTTTTTCAGTTGAGACAAATGAAATATTGGCGGGACTGCATGCCCCAAAACTTAAAAGAAAACTGTTCTTTGAAATTTTATTTGATACTTTTGAGATGTTTAAAAATATTGTATCGTCCTAAATTAGTTAAAATTCTGTATTATTTATAAGGATGATTTTTTTGAGTTCGACGAGCGGCAATGAACACTACTAATGATAAACACCATTAATTTAATTTATAAAACTTAAAATTTTAAATAACTCAACATATAATTATAAATTAGTTAAAAATTAAAAATAAATTATTTAAAATAAAGGGTAAACTATAACAGTGATCACTTAATTATTGTCCCTTTCTATTGTGACCATCACTTTTGAAATTTTGTCAATTAGGTCACTCAACTATTTAAATACACTCAATTAAGCCACTTGTCGTTAATATTTAACGAAAAAAACTGGTGTGGCAATTAAAATATTTGATATAATGACACATTTGGTCACTATTACTCATATATTCTATCAATTTTGTCCTAATTTTAATACTTTAAAATAAATTTAACCCTCAAAGTTATTAATAGCAATCAAAATTGTAAAAGTCATCCTTTGCTGGGTAAAAGGAATCGACATTGGATCTTGTGAAATTGATTTGGGAAATAAGTTGTTTTGAACAATAATTGTAAAAGTCATCCTTTACGAGGTAAAAGGAATCAACATTGGATCTTGTGAAATTGATTTGGGAAATAAGTTGTTTTGAATAATAATTGTAAAAGTCATCCTTTACGGGGTAAAAGAATCAACATCGGAATTGTTGATGACTTTGAGAGAATAAAATGAAGAAAATAATTTAAATATTTTTAAGTAACGATGACCAAATGTAATTATATCAAAAATTTTGACTGTCACATTAGCTTCTCCTTTAAATATTAACGACAAGTGGCTTAATTGAATGCATTTAAATAGTTGAGTGACATGATTGATAAAATTTTTAAAATAGTGGTCAAAATGAAAAGAAACAATGTTAAGTGATCACTAATATAGTTTACCATGTATTTAAAATAATTTACCTTTATTTTTTTAACTAATTTATAATTATACGTTTAGTCTTTTAGAATTTTAAATTTTATAAATTAAACTAATGGTGTTCATCATCTCTCGTTAAGCGTAGTAGAAATTTTCCTATTTATAATATTTTGATATCTTTTAAATCTCGAATGAACCTTTTAATTTACACAAGTAATTCCTCTTAAGGACGAGTATGTCACGCTTGACGAATATCGATGAGCACTACCAACGATGAGCACCGCTGAGCACCATTAATGTAATTTATAGAAAATTAAAATTGTACAATACTCAACATATAATTATAAATTTAGTTAAAAATTTAAAAGTAAATTATTTAAAAGAAAATATTAATTACATTATTTTCAATAATATTTTTAATAATAATTAGATCAGATATCAATCCTTAAATTAAAAAAAATCTTAAATATTTTTTCTTGCCATTGAAGTTGTCACCATCGTTAGCCACTGTCACGGTAAGATAGTCGTCGTCGTTCCTCCTTCCCTACGTAGTCGTCGTTTCCCGCCGTTCGCGCAATCAATCAGATAAGGTAATCTTTCTTTCTTTTTTATTTTTGTTTTGGACTTGGGCGGCAATCCAAACCGTCACCGACGGGTGTTGTCTCACCTATTTTCGGCTCCTTCACCTGTAGTGGTCGTGGCTGCCCATGTGTAGCTGCCTCCATCAAATTTAATCTTCCCTTAATCCCCTGATTCCCAAACCCTAACTAAAATCCTAACCCTAACTTTCTAATTAGGCCAAATATAGAACCCTAGTTCCCAAATTGAGTACCCTAATTCCTAAATTAAAACCACAATTCCCAAAATTGTACCTTAATTTCTACATTAGAACCGTAATTCCTAAATCCAATATCGAATTCCCAAATTGAAACCCTCAGTTCGTACTGATACGTTGTTTCACGTGTCATATTAACAAAATTGAAAAAATGGTATTCATATGGATAATAACTATATAATTAAATGATTATTCAAGTAGTTTATCCTAAAATAATACATGATAGAATTGATCTTAACTTTCAAAATATTAAATTTATACTTTTACATAAAAAGTTAGATTTCTAAAATGTGTAAAAAAAAATTAATTTGAACATATTTAAGTTGAAACTAATAAATTCTAGATCTTACTTAAAACAAATAGTTCGACAGAAAATAAACTTAAGAGAGTGCAAGTCGAAGTATCAATTAACTGGATGTAAACTACTTTAATGTAGAATAGATAGTCAGTCGTCTGTTTTTTTCTACCGGCTGGACTGATTTGTCCAGCCTCTTTTCTTCTTGGTCATATCGCCATTCATGTTCCAAGATCAATGTCCTTCCTTTCGAACATCACCGCGTCGTTTCTCGGCGAGAGGCCGGCGTTAACTTCACCACACGCCCAATTGAAATTACAGCCGCTTGCTCCCATCAATTCTAGACCCAGTATTAGGATTGCCCCACCGTTTCAGGTGAATTCGACTCGTATTACTAACATAGTAATTATCGAAATCTCATTTCTTTTATCATTTTGGTTTCGTTTTTCTCATTTTATAGATGCATTAATGCGAAGTGTCTTTTTTTAATTATTTTTTATTTCCCCTTATTTGCTGTAGAAGGACGCATTTGGGGTCTCCCGGATAGGTATTGGTAGGTCGAGTAGATGCGGCAGAAAACGAAGCGTATGCATGACATTGATAAATGAGAGACTTGGGCGTGATCGAGATGTAGCCGACCCGTCTTCCATACTGGTAAATTGAACTTTTGGGAACAATTTAGAGCGATGTTAAGTAAATTCCATTTTTAGTATTTTAATAATTTTTATCTGGTCTTAATCTTATTAGGGTCCCCTTCATAACTTTTCTAAAATTTAGAGAACCAAGTATTTTTTTGATCGATATATTTTATAACTCCTTGTTATCTTCAAGCATGTTAGAATATTGTCTCTTTATATAGATTAAACATTGATTTTGAGTATGGCGTTCTTAACTGGCTATTTTTTATGTTTCCTTTTGCAGGCATATGAACTAGTTCAAGGAAAACATGTACGTTTTCTTCTTCTAAAGTATGGTATTCTGTATTCTTCTTCGAAATAGATAATTGGAATGAAAAATATATCCCCGTTATTAGTTTTTGTAATGCAGTTGGTGATTTTGTTCATCGGTTGGATGTGGTGAATTATTAGCCCAGAATCATTTGTTTTAAGTGGATTCAATATTAAAACCTCTTCACGCCTCAGCTTGTCTGAACTCTGAACCTCTTTCCTATATGGTTATTGGATACTATGATTGCTTGATCACATGTTTGTTGCAAAACCATTTTATGAGATGTTTATGTTATACAGGGAGATACTAGAACCACCTAGATTGCCAATTGGGGGAAAACATAAATGTCAAAATATTCTGATTCTAAGGTGATAGTTTAGGCTTTGTTTGCCTTTTAGAATAATAATAATAATAATAATAATAATAATAATAATAATAATAATAATAATAATAATAATGGTGATCATAATATTTATTTTATGGTAATGTGAGAAATTATTGTAAAAGGCCTCTTTCTTTTTTCTTCATTTACTAGAATTGATATGATTCAACTGTTTCTTAATGTTTAAAGTTAAAATAATGATTCTGATTGAATTTCAGAGGCTTATGCATAAAAATGTCAATACAGGTAAACTGGAGCTCAATGGTTGTATTGAATAGGTCAATACCAGAGCCACCTACAGCTGTTCTCTTGCATGGCATTCTTGGGAGTAGAAAGAACTGGGGTAAGCACCAAATATAAAACTGGTGAATCACTTTTTATATATTTGTCATTGTTTTGTGCTTACTTTTTACTACCATAGCTTGGATTGAGATATAGTTTTTCATCTTCTTTTAGGAATTTAACTGATCTTTTTCTCTGTGGTTATATGTCTCATTTGTTCCTTTTCCATTTTCATTTTAATGAGAGGCCGAGTTATCCTAAAATCTTGTTTTGTTTCCAGCTCTTTCGTGAGGTTACCTTTAGTTTTCTAATTTGGTAAACTTCTTGAGCATTTTCTGATGTGTGCAGTTTGCAATCTGTTTTTGTGTGTCAATGCTCTGCTGTTGGCATTTATCTTTGAGAATTTTCACTATGTTTTAAGAGAAAAATATTTTTGCATTTCACGTGAAAGTGAGTAGATTGTAAAATATATTTGTACTATGTGTTGCAGGAACTTTTGTTCGGCGGCTGGCACAAGAATTTCCAACATGGCAGGTAAATTTTTTAACTTTCTAGTCCCCTGCACTGCTACCTTTTGTAGTGATACTTTTCAATTAATCTGGTAATTTTATATCATTACCAAGTCCCTTTGTTCCTCCCACTTCAAGGGAGCAATTTTATAGGCGGTTTTACCAAAATTTGATGCCTTATAGCAATATTGATAATCATTGTGAATTTACTTTAACATTATGATGTCATTATGACATCTGTGTGATGGATATCTTTGATCAGCTTCAGGGGTTTTTGTGGTAGCTTGACTCTTCAAAATTATTATGGTTTCAAGTATTAATTCCCACATGTTGTGGCAAGCTTTTCTTCGATGATGAATATACATACATATTTCTGACGTAGGCTTTTTTTGGGTGATAAATAGATTCTAGAAATACAGAAAATAATGTAATTAATTGATTAAGATGCTTAAATTGTTAAAAGATACTGTACTTAGAATCTTTTAATTTAGTTTTGAGCAGAGGACCAACCTTAGAGTTAGATTTCTGAAGATAACATTTCCAACGTAATTGTGCTGACACTGGGTTATTCATTCTTTTCTTCCCTTCCCCTCCCTTATTTACTTATATTGCAGCTAGATGAATCACTAGAAAGCTTAATTTATTATGCAGCCAAGAATCTCACATGTTCTTTTATTTTGCTCATGCAGTTTGTTTTGGTGGACTTGCGGTGCCACGGTGATTCAGCATCACTCAAGAAGAGAGGTCCACATACTGTTTCTTCAACCGCTTTAGACGTGCTAAAACTAGTGCGTGGATCTTAAGCCTCATTGTCAGTTTTATACTTCATTTTTATCCTAGAATTGTGGTTTTGTTGACGGTGTTCTGATGAGAGGACATAATGAGGCACAATTAATGTTAATTCTGATTAATTTAGCCAAGAGATATTGATGATAATGCTTCTTATTCTTCTTCTCAGTAATTTAAGTGATATTTTATGGTAATCGTTTAAAACTGATTTTCCACTTCTTTGTATCTGAAAAGAACCGAAAATTTAAGGAAAGAATATACATTAAGGCTTCGTATTCTTCTTCTCAGTAATATTTTTCTTTGTTTTTGCTGGAATAGATTGCACAACTTAGAATAACACCCCGTGTCCTAATTGGCCATAGCTTTGGAGGAAAAGGTAATTTTTAGTCTTTAGGCTGGTTAATAAGCTTAATTCTGGTGATATATGATATAAAGATAATTATTTGAAAGGATAATAGTTCTAGTGTGCTTTCAATTTGTTTTTCAGTTGTCTTGAGCATGGTGGAGCAAGCTGCGAAGCCACTTCCACGGCCAGTTAGAGTAAGTTCTTTTCTTTCCCTTAGATATTTTCAAGTAGGTTTTTAGTCTTTAGACACACTAGTTGAGTGTTAATCACATCTTAAGGTGGGTATATTTATTTTAGAGTGGATTAAGGAACCCAAATTTATATAAAAGCCTGGTATTTGCAACTTGTTCCATACAAATATGGGAAAAAGATTGTGTTTATATAATCAATTTTGCACACCGACCAGTACGCTTAATATATATATATATATATATATATAATAATGATTGCTGCTTCATTTTCTTTTCCTCATCTCTAATTCCTTAAAAACAATTATGGTTTGCTTCATAAATCTCTATAGGTTTGGGTTCTGGATGCCACACCTGGAAAAGTTCGAGCTGGTGGAGATGGTGAGGACCATCCAGGGAAGCTAATATCTTTCTTAAAGAAATTGCCTAAAGAGGTGAGTTATTGTGTCACTTTGTCAATTATGATGGAGAAGATGTTTCCTTTTAAGTACTCTTTTCCAGTTCAGTCATACCTGGAGTTAGTTAACATCCTTTTCCTCTAGTTATCATCTTTTTCTGCCATAGTTAAACTTTTTTTTTTGATAAGAATAGGAGGTCTCATTAAAAAACCCCTTCATAATTGTCCGTCCTCCCCAAAAGGGGAAACAAACAATCAGCGGAAGGCCGAAAAGAGTACCTCAAGTTTTATTAATATACGGGTTTTCTTTCCTTTTTTTTTATAGGAATAGGAGGCCTCATTAAAAACCTCCCTCATAGTTGGCTCTTGTGAAGAGGCAACTAGCGGAAGGAGGAAAAGAGTACCTCAATATATTAATAAACCTTAATTACATAATAACCACCCGAAATAAAAAACAGAACAGAACCACGCTAACACTGAAAACATTACAACCAGTATATAGCAGTAAACCCAATACAAAGGCAAAAGAGTACCTCAAGTAAAACTATCCATGTATCATTTTCTTGTTGTATTATCAATTTTTTGGTTTTGCATTTCCTGCATTCCATCTTCAGAAAAGGATAAATATTCTTTTGTATGTTGCTCTAAACTTACTAGAATTTTATTTAAAGCAGGTCTCCTCAAAGCGGGATATTGTGAATGCTCTCATTCAAGAAGGATTTTCAAAGGATGTTGCACAGGTATTTTTCCTCGACCTCCAAGGATGTGCTCCTTTTTCTATAAAAAAAAAAAGGATGTGCTCCTTTTGTATGTTAATTTCATACTCTTAACCCTGTTTAAATTTTATATGTTGTGTGCCTATGATTTATGTTTGATGTCTTGTCACCAGTGATATCTATTATTTATTGGCAAAATAATTTTATTTGCTTGATCAGTTGTTTAATAAACATGTCTTCAATGTAATATATTGTCTCAGCCAGTGTTGTTAATGTGTTGCGCCTTAGTGTTGGACAACTTAAGTGCCTCAGTCAAGGCACGTTTGATCTGGTATACACTTACTGCATGTGCATCTAGGTGTGCATTTTTATAAGGTGATAATGTGCAAAAATACCCGTGTAATTGTAGTTCTCTTTAATTTTTAATTATATATATTTTCATTAATTGCACCTTTATTAGTAAGAAAGAGGTTAACCTCAAACTTTCTACTACTCAATATTTGTGTCGTATGTATTTTTACACATTTGTGTATTGATGTATTCATATTGTATCTGTGTTTCTTTTATTTTTCACTATTTTTTTTCAGTGCACGATTAATTTTTCAGTATTTTACTTTTGTCATTGTATAGCTAGCATATGATCTGGTAATGAAGCCTTTGAGCTGTCACTTTCAATTGGCTATCTGTAAAGTCTTTGATTCTCAATTCTTTTAGATACTGTCGTATCTACTTTTGTGATGACTATAAAAGAAAATAACAGAGTAAAGGAATGCCATCTTCATCTTTGATTTTGCTGGAAGCGTAGATGGGCTCACAATAATTTATAACTCTCAGAAATTTTTATTGATACGAAACAAAATATTTTACAACGACACTCTCAATATTACAATACTGCAATACTAGCTGCGGCTAGTTTACAAACACAACCTCACTATTTTATGCTTTGCTAAGCTCTCTCAATTTTCTCTAATTTTTTCTCCCACTCGTACTTTGCTTTTGTCACTCACACACACACCCTTTGCTACAAATTACACGTATATATAGGAAAACTAAACCGACTTAACTTACTCTGGATGCTTCTCAATTTCTCGTTGCCGCCTCATGTTTGTTTCTAAAATATTCTAGCCGCGTGATTGAATTTGCTTGTGCTTATCTTCAATTTGTTTTTTGTAGCTGCTGCCATTTGTTTTATTGCTGCCACACTTGTGATTTATGGGACCACCTTAAATCTTGCCGACATATTTTTTTATTGTTAAGTTTGGATGCACATGTGATTGTTCAAGAGTTTGACTTCCAGCACTCCCCCTCAAACTCGACTTTCCATTCCGAGCTTCTCTTTGAGTCGGTTGAATATATCTGCTCTCAATGGCTTTGTGAAAATATCTGCTAGTTGATCTTCAGTTCTGCAGTAAATTAGCTCCACATTTTTGTTCTTCACCTGCTCTCGTATAAAGTGATACTTTGTATCAATATGCTTGCTTCGGCTATGAGAGACTGGATTCTTGGCAAGGGAAATTGAAGACTTGTTGTCGACATAGATTGTAGTTGGTTCTTCTTGCGCCAAATTTAGCTCGTTCAAAATATTCCTTAACCACATTGCTTGACAAGTGCACGCTGCTGCGGCTATGTATTCTGCTTCACATGTTGAAAGAGCTACCGTTTGTTGCTTATTTGATGACCATGAAAATACTGCAGAGCCGATATGAAAGAGATATCCAGTTGTGCTTTTCCGATCGTCTAAGTCTCCCCCATAATCACTATCAGAATAACCAACCAGCTTCGAATTTTCTGAATGCGTGTAGAATAAACCATGACCTGTTGTACCTTTGACATATCTGAGGATTCTTTTTGCTGCACTCCAATGATCTTGTTTCGGATGCTCCATGAATCTGCTTACCAATCCCACAGCGTATGTTATGTCTGGTCGTGTGATAGTCAGATACCTTAGACTTCCAACTATGCTTTTGAACAACGTCGGATTCACTTGCTCTCTTGTTGAATTCACACTTAATTTGACTCCTGGTTCTGCTGGAGTGGCTACCGGCTTGCAATCTTCCATTCTGAATTTTCTTAAAATTTCTTCTGCATACTTCTTTTGTGATATAAATATTCCTTCTTGCATTTGCTTCACTTCAACTCCAAGGAAGTATGACATTTCTCCAATATCTGTCATTTCAAATTCTTTAGTCATAGCTTTCTTAAAATCATTGAACATACCTGGATTATTTCCTGTGAAAATCATGTCGTCCACATATAAGCACACGATCATGATATCACCGTCTTCATTTTTCTTTGTGTATAAGGCATGCTCGTATGGACTCTTCATGAACCCATTTCTCTGGAAATATTCATCAATCCTCGTGTTCCATGCTCTCGGGGCTTGCTTCAAACCATATAGAGCTTTCTTCAATCGGTAAACTTTGTCTTCATGTCCCTTTCTAATGTATCCAGGTGGTTGCTCAATATAAACTTCTTCTTCTAGGTAGCCATTTAGAAATGCTGACTTCACATCCATTTGATAAATTTTCCATCCTTTTTGTGCTGCGACTGCTGTGAGAAGTCTGATGGTCTCGATCCTTGTTACTGGAGCAAATACTTCATCATAGTCTATTCCTTGTCTTTGTTTATAGCCTTTGACAACTAGCCTCGCTTTGTACTTCTCAACATTTCCTTCTTTATTGATCTTTGTCTTGTAAACCCATTTTACTCCAATTGGGTTATGGCCTTCTGGTTGTCTTGTTAGCTCCCATGTATCATTTCTTTCTATTGATGCAATTTCTTCATCCATTGCATTCCTCCATTTGTCATCTTCAACCGCTTCTTCGTATGTTATTGGATCACTGTTCACAAGCAAGCAGAAAAGTGAAACATTATTTAGTTCATAATCGTTGTACCTTTCTGGCATTCTTCTCTCTCTTGTGGATCTTCGAAGTTCTGTGGGAGGTGCTTCAGGATCTTCTATTATGTTGCTGGCATCGCTGCTGCTGCTTGACGACGATGGTAGATTTTGTCGAGGATCTTGATCATCAGCTTGTTCATCTTGATTGATAAGATCACCATCTTTATCTTCAAAAAATAGTCCTTCAACTTTCTTTTCCTCTTCGCTCCATCTCCAATAGTCTGCTTCATCGAACTCGACATCTCTTGAAATTATTATCTTTTTTGTAAGAGGATTATATAATATGTAAGCTTTGCTTCTTTCATCATAGCCAATGAAAATACATTTTTCTCCTCTGTCATCAAGCTTCTTTCTGGTATGTTCGGGAACATGGGCATATGCGATGCATCCAAAAATCTTGAAGTGTCCAACTCCTGGTTTCTGTTCACTCCATGCTTCGTTTGGCGTCATATACTTCACGCTTTTTGTTGGACATCGGTTCAATAAGTAAACTGCACATCGAACTGCTTCAGCCCAGAAATTTCTCGGTAGTTGCTTGCCTTTTATCATGCTTCTCGCCATATCCAGGATTGTGCGGTTCTTCTTTTCTGCAACTCCATTTTGTTGTGGCGTGTATCTGGCTGTCAGCTGATGGATGATACCATGCTCTTTGCAGAATTCTTCAAATAACTTTGATGTATATTCGCCTCCTCTATCTGATCTGAGTATCTTCAAATATTGACCGCTTTGTTTTTCCGCCATTGCTTTAAATTCTTTCAATTTTTCCAGCGCTTCTGACTTTTCTTTCAAGATATAAATCCAACATTTTCTACTAAAATCATCAATGAAAGTTAGGTAGTACCTGTTACCGCCAAGCGATGGTATGTCAAAAGGACCGGCTATATCTGTGTGTACTATCTCCAGCAGTCTTTGGGCACGCCAGGATCTACCAACTTCAAAGCTTTGTCTATGTTGCTTCCCTTTGATGCAAGCCTCACATAATTGATTTGGAGGGTTGATCTCTGGTAGTCCTTTCACCATGCTTGTTTTTGACAACAGCTTCAATCCAGAAAATCCAAGATGTCCATATCTTAGATGCCATAGCCATGAATCATCTTTGATCGCGGTCTTCATGCACTTGACTTCTCCTGACTCGATATCAATTGTAAAGAGACGATTTCGAGTCATATCAGCTTGGGCTATCAATTCTCCTTCTTTATTTTTGATGGCGAGCGAGCGATTCTTCATCTGCACTTCATATCCTTTTTCTAGGAGTTGACCAAGACTGATGATATTGCTTTTCAAAGCAGATACATAATAAACATCTGAAATATATTTCTTTTCTCCATTTTTCTGAGTAATCATGACTTTGCCTTTTCCTTTTATTTCTGCGTGCGAGTCATCTCCGAACGTTACTCGTCCATGGACTGTTTCATCTAATTTCACAAACAATTCCCTTTGACCACACATATGGTTACTGGCACAATTATCAAGATACCAGATATTTTTCTTGAATTCTTCATTTCCTTTATAAGTGAGGAATACGTGAGATTTTTCAATTTTTTCTTCTTCAGCTGCTGCTACGTTATTTCTTTCTTCTTGTTTAGGAGCAGATCTACACTCATAACTATAATGACCATACTTATTGCAATTATAACATTGTACCTGGAATTTACTTCCTTGTTGATATCTGCCCCTACCTCGGCCTCTGAATCCTCGTCCACGACCTGATGTTGGATTGCTTTCACTCATTTGATTGGTGCTATATGATCGACCACCACGTCCACGAGTTCCTCGTCCTCCTCTATATCTTCCACGATAACCACCACGATTTCCTCGTCCTTGTGTGTAGCTGCTGCTAGCTTCTCCTTCGTTGACATTCATCTTGCTTTGTAGAGCTTGCTCCAAATTTTCAGAATCTTCATTTTGTTTTATTTTCTGCTCATGGGCTTGAAGTGAACCCACAAGCTCATCGATCGATATCTTCTTTGCTTTTTCGGCACCTTGTAGAGATTTTTTGCAAAATCTCCCATGCTTGTTTTGCGGTCTTTGCATCAGAAATTTTTTCAAAGGTAGATTCGTCTACTCCTTGAAAAATAAAGAACAACGCTCTTTTATCTTTTCTCCGGGATTCCTTCAATACCTTCTTTTCTTCATTGGCCAGGACTGCTTCTGCTGCTGCATTTTCAAGCTCGGTGTAACCATCCTCGATGATATCCCAACAATCTTGGGAGCCTAGTAACGCCTTCATTTGAATGCTCCAATTGCCATAATTTGTCTTTGTCAATCTCGGGATTTGTGATTGAATTATGTTGGTCATCTTCTCCACCACGTTGAACTCGAACCAAGCTCTGATACCACTTGCTGGAAGCGTAGATGGGCTCACAATAATTTATAACTATCAGAAATTTTTATTGATACGAAACAAAATATTTTACAACGACACTCTCAATATTACAATACTGCAATACTAGCTGCGGCTAGTTTACAAACACAACCTCACTATTTTATGCTTTGCTAAGCTCTCTCAATTTTCTCTAATTTTTTCTCCCACTCGTACTTTGCTTTTGTCACTCACACACACACCCTTTGCTACAAATTACACGTATATATAGGAAAACTAAAGCGACTTAACTTACTCTGGATGCTTCTCAATTTCTCGTTGCCGCCTCATGTTTGTTTCTAAAATATTCTAGCCGCGTGATTGAATTTGCTTGTGCTTATCTTCAATTTGTTTTTTGTAGCTGCTGCCATTTGTTTTATTGCTGCCACACTTGTGATTTATGGGACCACCTTAAATCTTGCCGACATATTTTTTTATTGTTAAGTTTGGATGCACATGTGATTGTTCAAGAGTTTGACTTCCAGCAGATTTTGCCTTTATTTGTCATGTTTCTTGGATTAAATCATATTTGTTGAATTTTCCTGGTTTTTATTCTTTCAGTGGGTTGTCATGAATCTTCGACCAACTGCTACTGCTGGTTCATCATCATCAAGTTTCTCGTGGGTGTTTGACCTCGAAGGGATTTCCGAAATGTACCAGTCCTATGAAGAAACAAATTTATGGTAATCTTACCTGGATTAAGCTATAGGGCGTGATTTGTACTTTATTTTACTTGTCCATAATCAGCCTGAACGCTGCGACTTCTATATGTTATATATTTTGAATGACGAACATAAAAATAATTAGTGAAATTTGTTCCCATTTTGAATAGAGCTTTTATTTTATTATTCGCAACCTATCAAGCTTAAAACTTGTATGTTTTCTTTTGGCTGCATAATTGCAGGAAAGTGGTGGAAGCTCTACCTCGTGGCGTCCATGTTAATTTTTTGAAAGCAGAAAGGAGTTTGCATCGATGGGCCCTTGAAGATCTTCAACGAATTCATGCTGCTGAAGAGACTGCTGCTGATGAAGGTGGAGGGGTTGAGATGCATGTCCTTGAAGATGCTGGGCATTGGGTACTCCTATTGCTTTGCTCATGCTTTAATTTACTTGTGTTTTCTCCTCTGCTCATAGCATTTCCCTGCATCTACTCCTGCTACTTATTGCGTCGCATTTTATTGTTTGAAGGACATTGATGTAGAACCTAAGATGTAAGAAGTACTACTGAGTTTCATACTCGATAAAGTGTGTATAACCCAATAAATGCCACAGCATGTCAAGAAATTGGTTATCCAATCCAACTATGACGTCTGAGACTGAGATTGACATGGTTCTAAAATTACTCTCTGCCAGAGATAAAAGCTGACTTATAGGCTTCTGCAAGTGAAGCAACCTACATAGAAAAAGCTTGTCTAACTTGTGAAAATGAAAGGGGAAAATGTGCAACCTTCCTGCTCTACCTCCAATTTTTCTGTTACAACTTTGAACATTTGGAAGTCTGATCAACTGCATTTTCACATAGCAAGAACATATGCAGTACAAGTGTTGGACATGGGTAGATATCGAATGTGGGTTTATCATTTCTCATGGGTTTGGTGGATTTTTGAAGGGTCAAATCCCTACACTTCTAATCAGATATGGTGGACAAAGATAGGTTAAGTAAAATGAGGAATTGGAGGAACATAGGCTTAACTTAAAATGTGACCGTGGGCTGATTTACTTGTGTATTTGCTGAATAGTTATTCTTTGTAGCCGTGTCATTCGTAATTTCGGTTGATGCAGAGCTATTTTCCGGAGTGTGAGAGGGTTTTTAATATTGTTTATTTATCTTTCTGTATGTCAAAGTGGTGCTCATTTTCAGTTTAATTTCTTATCAGGTACATGCAGATAACCCAGATGGACTCTTCAGGATTCTTTCATTTTCTTTCAAGGGAGTTAAAGCCTAAAGGTGTTGTATGCTAGTCAAAATTCGATATCAGTGTTACCCGGACTTTTCATTTTTTTGTTACCCTCGACGTGTTTGGCACCTATGTTTGACACATATTTTAACACGAGTACGAGGGTATGATTCTTTTAATATATGAAAAAAAAATAAAGTGAGCTAGATACATACTTGTATCCTACAATCATTCTGGATGATAGGTAATTTGAGCTTTGAGTTAGTAACATTAACGTTTTTCATTTAGCTTAGCTCAGTATTGTATTTTGATTCGAACAATTAACATATTTCAAGATTTTTTTGTCGTTAACATACCATAGTAATTGAGAAATTACATTTTAGGTTTTGTATGTACCAAGGAATATCCGTTGAAGGATAAAATTGAGATTACATTCAAGTAGGCATTGATTTGGTAAAATTGAGATTAGGTGAATATTTTATGTAATTTTTAAATTTAAATTTGTTTTGGTTTAACTTTTATTATATGCAAACTATATCTAAAATTATTATGGTTTACATCTAAACATATTCTGATTATCAATTTATTTTTTATTTTTTTACTAATTGATTGAAGTTATAACGTATATATTAATTGTAATTATAATTTATAAAATAAAAAGTTTATAATATATGAAAAATACGTATTTGTTTATGGGCAAAAAAGCTTGAATACATTTTAAAAAATATAATTAAGCATAAGATTAGAATGTAGAACTTATAAGAAGTGATCTTGGATATTTTAAGAAAATTGGATATAAAAAAAGCATTGAACTATTACAACGCTAGTGATGTGACAACATAGCCATTTTCTTTCTCGTAAATTTTAGTTTCTGAAATGATTTTGTCACTACATTTTAAAATGCTACGTTTTTAGGCATTGAATTTGAGTTTACGTCAACTCCTTCGGTCACCGTTCTTTACAACCGTCACTTATTATCGGGAGTCATTCATAAAAAAATAAGTATCAAAATGTTTGTATTTTATTTTTCATTCTTCTCATTGAATTGATTTTTCGAGTAACTCACTCAAAATCAATAAAAATATTTTATAAAAGTCTTAAGTTTTAATAAGATGATTTTCTTTGCAGTCCATCCAGTGAGGATAGTTTCGAGGTATGTTATTTGTCTTCTCGATTCTTATTATATGAATTTTTGAACAAACACCATAAATTCCTTAATCCAGTGATTTTTTATTTAATTCTATAAATTTTAAAGGGATGCAGGGAAACGAAATTGTAGAAGATGGTGGGTTGAATTCATCAGTATCTAAGATGATCACATAAGACGTCATATAATACCATTTTGGACTACATATAAAAATTAATGAAAATCCTAACTTTAGTAAAAACGCCGATGATGAGATCAAATAAAAACATACTTTTTACATTCGCATCAACTTATTATAAATAAATTATCCGTTCGATGCTTATATCGAAACTAAATCAAAATTGAGTGACTTCCGACATAATTCACCCTAAAAAATAAAAGACGGTATTCAAAGGTAATATTAGTTAATAATTATTTAATCATATTTCTAGAAAAAAATCAGTTAATCCATTATTTTGGCTTAATTTAAAAATAATTTCTAATCATAATTATATTTTATAAATTCAATATAAGCCAATATTAAAAAATAACCTTTGATAAAAATGCAGCATAAATGATAGGTCTATATATATATATATATCATACATTCCTCGTGTAGGATATTTTTGTTGTGCAAGAGCCTTTTCTTTCTCCTCTCTCTTTCCTTTTCTTTCTTCTCCATTTTCTCGAATGTGTTGCTAAGAAAAGGAAAAATTGGTAAGTTTATAGAAGAGAAGGCTCTTGATCAAACTTTTTACGGCCATCATAATAATGATGATCATCAACCGCCGGGCTCAATCGTTATAACAGCCTTTAAGAGAAAGTATCGGAGTTTTTGAGTAACGATTACGCAGAATCTGATGCAGCCGATGTCTATGGATCGGACGGCAATGAATCCAATGGTTCTCTCCAACACGACCTTTACTGGGAATCCCAGGAAGCTTTGCTTCAGGTATTTATATATTACTTCTCTTTTATCATTTCTTTTAAAATTATACCTTTATTTTCAATTTCAACAAAAATTAATCGTGAAACTGATGATTTAGATGAGAATTTTCTATTCACTTCTTTGGAATTATGTTGAAATTAATCATTATTATTAGATATTATTTATTTATTTGAATAAAATAATAATCGGATTACAAATCAAAATAATTATATTGGAATTTCATAATTATTGACTTTTTTTAAATAAACATTATTCGTTTCTTTGTGTACATGAAGATATCATTCAATGCATGGTTTTATAAAAGAGTTTGGATAAGGTATTGAAATAGTCACTTTAGTTTTATAATTATTCATTTTTGGTCACTAAATTTAATATTTCGATCACACGCTATTGATTTGTAACATTTTAATCATTGAGATGTTCAATATCTTAAGTGATATTAAATATCTTCAGTGTCAAGATGGGGTATGGCTAATTTTTAGTTTGATGACTAAATTTTTAATAAAATATTGTTTTGATATTTAAATTTTAGATAAAATATCAATTTAAGTATTTAATTTTAGATAAAATATTAATTTAATTTTTGAATTTGATTTAAGTCTCTCATCACATACCATAACTCACCACCTTGTCGGCCATCAAATCTTAAAATTTTCAATATACTTGTTTTCAGCCTCTTAAACAAAAATTTGATGTCCGTTTAATCGAAAAATCTCACGAAATATATATATATATATATATATATATATATATTTATATATATATAATCAATTAGCTTGATGATATGAATTTTTACCAAAGTTTATGCATAATGTAAGATCCAAAATGTTTTAAAAAAAATATTAATGATAAATTTATTATTATTGTTTAATTTTAAAAGAAATCAATAATTTTAGTATTTTAGACTAGATTTATGAAACTCGAAACATTTTTAGATGAGACGAAAAGTAGATTCGCACTCATGAAATAAAAAGAAGTAAATTAGAAATTTTAGGATCCAATTGTTGTCAGCAATGGCGATCGGCAAAACATTAACTAATACATCATAAATTAATAATGTAAGTGAGCTAAATGTTCTTTTTTAAATTTGATTGGAAAAAGTGAATAAGTATGAAATAAGAGTGACCATTTAAATAGTATACCCAAATGTTCTCATCAAAGTAATTAATAGGTCTATCTACGAACAACACAATATCTGTACGGCTTAATTTACCTCCATTGGAAAAGCTTGACTTTTTCAGTCCAACTTTTTTTTTAAATATTGAGATAATAATAATAATAGAGGGAGAATATAATTATCTTATTCGTGGTGGATTTTATTGTGCATGTCTTTCAAATGAATGCTTGTTAAAAAGTTGAGACATAGGAGTACATACTATTGAGAAATCTTTTTATTTTTTAAACAAAAATTACAAAGTATCATCAATTAAGTAATTATTTAGAATCTTTCATAATTAATATTATATTTTAACCAACTATTTAATATATAATATTTCTCGAATTTCTCTCGAGAAAGTTAACAGATCTCTTATAAAAAAACTAGATTAACTTTTAAATATTAAAATTTAAATAATAAAATTATTAGATTTCAGAATTTAAAACTAATTACACGCACAAATTAAACTAAGGCTTCGTTGGGAAATGTTTCTAGGCGAGCTTTTCCAACGAAAATTTTAATGCAAAAGAATTATTTTAAGTTTCTTGATTTAAGTCGATAATTATATTTTAATCGTGAATTTTTGACTGAAAATAAATCGTTTGAAAATACTTTTACATTTCAAACAGAATTTTGGGTCAAAAGCACTTCAAAAGTATTCTCAAACGGCCCTTTTAAATAGAACAGATGTTGGAAAGGAAATCTCAGGTTTATTTTGTAATATGGATTGAGGTTGCTGGTAAATGGTGCAGGAAATATGCATTGGTAGGTTCCAATTTACGACAAGAAGTAAATGTAATTATAAAGGAAGCGACAGAGACTGTTTTGCAGCTGCAAAAACCAAAAGCAAAGCCTAAGGCCCGATGTTGGTTGCATCAACTGTTTGCGCAAGACTGTTGTACACCAGCTTTGTCGCAGAGGACTTAATGCCGCTCTCTGTGTTTCTAAGTGGAAACACACCAAGAACCATCCTGCAGGTTCTTAATTTCGATTTGTGTTCATGTTTTTTCCGTGTTAACGTGTAATCGATAACGAAAAAACCGAAATAATCGTTCGGTTCGATGTATTTACCTGCAGGGACACATGAATACATCGAAGTGATCGTGAGCACGCAAGGGCGGAAGAAGCAAATCCCATTCGTGATCGAATTGGAGTTCAGAGACCAATTCGAGATCGCGAAAGCATGCGACGAGTACACGAAACTGGTGGACAAATTAACGGAATGTTTCGTGGGGAAATCTGATTACCTCAATCCCATCGTGAGAGTGATGTGATGCCGCCAAGAGGTCGATGGATGAGCAGAAACTCCATATGGGTCCCTGGAGGAAGTGATATTGATTTATTATTATAATTATAATTATTATTATTATAATTACTATAAATATTATTATTATTATTATTATTACTATAAATATTATTATTATTATTACTATTATAAATATTATTATTATTATTATTAAATATATATATATATATACATAAATAATATTAAAAAATTACAAGCCCAGTTAACCGGCCCAAACCAAACCGAAACCCTAAACATTTAGGGTTTCAGTTAAGTTTCTCTAACCCTAGCCGCCTCTGCCTCCAGCCACCTCTGCCCCCAACCGCCTCAGCCAATGGTCCAGCTTCCAGCCGCCTCTGCTGCCAGTGCCACGCCTCCATCGAAGCCTCCAGAAGACCCAGATGGCCACCCACGTAGCTACTCTAGCAGTGAGTCACCACTGGGAGTCCGGTGACTCACCGAACTCTATTCTTCGGACCGGTCCGAGATGAGCACCGGTGATGGCTATAAAGCCATCACCCAATCTGCAAAGAAAAAGAAAAAAAAACACGAAGAGGGACAGAAAATACACAGAGAGAAGAGAAATACAGAGAAACAAAATACTAAAAAAAGCTACCAACGATCTCAACAACAACGCAGCAAAGAAACAGAAAAGAAAGAAAAAGGAAGAAGAGAAACTTACC